AGCAGTAAGGATATGCCTAGCTAATAAGAGCTTCAGCTAGGAAGATGTTTGCTATCGAGTGGCTAGGACTGGGCTAGTGACGGGACAGCAAGAATATATGTGAGTAGAATTAATATTAATGGTCTTGCTATAAGCGGATAGTAAAGGTCGACCAGGCTAACGGTGAGTAGAGTAGAACTAGCAAGTGTATAACTAGCTAGTTAGTTGTAGAGTGTTTGGATAGCTAGCTAGCAAGTGTTTGACACATTCGTAAGGATTGAGCTAGTGAGTTAATGGTAGGAAAAGTTTATAGAGCAAAGGCTTCAGGTATAGCTAGCACGTGCTATAAACTGGCATTAAATTAAATTAACTTGACATAAGCTAGCTGCCGAGCCCTTCCTGCCTTAGTCCATATTTGGTATAGACTGAGTCTAATAGAAAAGCATGGGCTGCATGAAGAAGGGTTGAAACAGTAAGGAGTGCAGCAGTAACAGCTAAGCTAGACCGTGAGCTTGGTTGAAACACTACAGAGAGCGGCAAGCACGAGATGAAACAGAGAATTTAGACAGTGAGTAGGTTGACCTTTATCGTGAGTTTCTATATTATGCTATAGCCTTATCTGTTCGTAAGGTGAATGTGTGCGCACGTCGCGCGCACTTCTATTCTCACGGGAGGCTTTGATGTGGTGAGGAGTCTATCAATATAATATATTGATAGACTCGTGATGCGATGAGGACTTGTAATTGCTGCGAGCAGAGTAGATGACTGTAATGCATAGAACCACGCATTCACACACACGCCGACACACACATGCGCGCACACGCACGCGAGCACGTAAGCTCAAGCACGTACACACAGCTCGGATATCATTAACGTGCTCACCCTTTAATCTTCAACTTTACCTTGACTTTGCTTTCTTCACGTATGCACGCACGCACATACGCACGCGCACGCACACACACGCACGCACACAAGCGCACACAGGCACACACAAGCACGCACACAGCTCGGATATCATTAGCGTGCTCTCCCTTTGATCTTTAACTTTACCTTGACTTTGCTCTCTTCACGCATGCACGCACGCACATACGCACGCGCACGCACACACAAGCACGCACACAGCTCGGATATCATTAGCGTGCTCTCCCTTTAATCATTACCTTGACTTTGCTCTGTTCGGCGCAATTTCCTCCGACTAATATGGCGTCCTTTGTGATTTAACCATTTCCTCGATCTTAAATTGCATGCGCGTATGTGTTAGTAAGTTGTAAACTGTAATGCGGTGCATGTATGCATGGGATCGTATCGACCATACAGCTAGATTACTAGATGCGGTGATCGTACACGGCGAACGTGTTATCATCTAACGTATCATCTCGCGCTACTTTGAAGCACGTCCCGTTCGTTGTGTGTGCGTGTGTATGTGTGTGCGTGCGTGTGTTTGGGCAGCATGCAGCCAGCGTTCAAGCAAGCAGTAGCAACAACAACAACAACAACAACAACAACAACAA